CTGTGTTGCTATGGTGACCAGCAGTCTGTGCTGATCTTCAGGGTTAAAGGGTGAATTAGCAGTTCTACATTAACTCCAGAGTTTAAGACATTTATTATTAAACTGTGTTGAACGATCAGCAGAGCTTTATTTTACTGTAAAGGAGGATTATTTTATTTTTACCTACTAATCTAATTCTGCTGTGGAGCCACAACAGGGCAGTAAAAGAGCCACATGTTGGTGTAGCCAAAGGCCGTAGGCAACCACAGGTGTTGTGCTGGATACACAACATGGTTACGCTACAGGTTATGTTTATTTTTTCTAAAATAAAACTGTTTGACTGATGTATTTACAGAACAACACTGCAGAAATTGAATGTAATTTAGTGTCAATATGCCTGTGTGACATGAGTGCATGTGAAGGGGAATGGGATTCATTCACAGCGTTCAGCTACATGGTGAACTTTTGATCATTTTTATAGATCACAGTAGGTCATACTGTGTCCTAAAGCCAAAATCTGGGCACCAAACTTATCTTGGTGGATCAACTTCTGGTGAGTTGTACACTAACATTAAGTTACTGAAGCATCTTAACTGCCTACTTTGCATATTAGAAGTGTCTTTACAGGGTGGCTGCTGCCCAAAACTTGGCTGACAAATATGTACAAATCTTGGCACCATGGTGTCTGGCTCAGCTCTTGAGGTCTAGAACAGGTCTTGGGCAAGACAAATTGAAAACCACATCTTTCCTGCCTGCTTACAAAAAGCCATAAACTTCACTGTGTGTTAGCATTACAGGGTCTTCAGAGACGTCTTCTAGATTCCCATCAACCTACTTTGTTATGGAAATTCTGAGTGTACTTTTTCCATGTTTTATGACTCTGGACACTCAGCGTCTTTTACACAATCTGAAGAAGACGCCATCACACTATCAACACCCAGCTCAGGTTTCCAACCTCAGCGTGTGGTATTTGGGATTGGAGATCGGACTAAACGCGTTCCAGTTTTTGTAGATATGCCAGTTGTAGCAGGTATGAGCCGACTCCTCTGGGCATGACAGTGATGCATGCTTCCAGTACATCACTTGTTCTTTCGGTTAACCCGGCCCCTTCCCTCCTGGCCCACTATTTATGACCTGGAGGATCTGTCATGACCTAACTCAGATAAATACAGTTGGGCAGGAGATGATTCAGAAGGAAGAACTCTTCCACTCTCCTGCGACCCAGCGCAGAAGCATCCCGGTCTCAGGAGCACCAAATAACGCTTGGCAAGCAGAAGCGCAGCATGAAGTTAAGAGGGCAGTGACTGATCGTGTTTCGCACAGCGCAACAGCGCGATGGTCGGCACGCCCTGCATGATTGAGTGGGATCTGGCTCCGTTCCTCCGTGGGAGTTGCACCCAGCAGAGATCGGCTCCTTGCTCGCGCTCTCTTTCTCTCCTTGCCATGAACATGAGCTCAGTCCGAGCGGACCCAGTGGGTGTCCGTGAGTAAGACACTCATGATGACATGGAACAGAGAGGTATTTATCACCAAGATCTGACAGCAGTCTGGTTCACATTAACAAGCCACGTTCCTGGTGACCAGTAACAGGCCAAGGGCCTTTCAACGAAAGGCCTCACCACTTTTACATGTGATGGTATGGGGCAGTGAGATCTTTGAGGGACTCTAGAACAAATGTGGGGGTTCATTCTTGTTCTTCTTGTAGGAAAGGCAAGGCAGGTTTACTTATCTAGCACCTCTCATGCACTGTGGCCATTCAAAGTGCTTTACAAATAATGCATTTTTAAGAAAAGGTAAAATCCGTTTTCTAAAGTTTTATGAAACAATTCTCCAAGGAAGGAGGCCATTCAGGGCAACGCTCTAAAAAAAGATGGTTCTTCAAGGGTTCTTTAGGAAAGACAATGGTTCTATATAGACCCAAGAACACTCAAAGAACCATATGTATGCTTAAATAGTTGTTTACATGGTGAAATCGTTATTTAGATTGATGCACACTTAAAGACGATGGTTCTTTAAGGGTTCTATAGTACAGACAAGGGTTCTATATAGAACCAAGAATACTCAAAGAACCATTTGCGTGCTAAAATGGTTCTTTGCACGGTGAAATCATTTTTTTAGACTGATGCACACTTAAAGTAATGGTTCTTCAAGGGTTCATTACTAAAAAAATGGCTCTATATAGAACCATGAGCACTCAAAGAACCTTTGGCATGATTAAAGGGTTCTTTGCATGGTGAAATCATTCTTCAGACTGAGGCACACAAACATTATGGTTTTTCAAGGATTCTTTAGTGAAAAAAATGGTTCTATATAGAAACAAGAACACTCAAAGAACCTTTTGCATGATTAAAGGGCTCTTTGCATGGTGAAATTGTTCTTCAAATTGATGCACACTTAAAAATGAAGGTTCTTCACGTGTTCTTTAGTGAAGAAAATTGTTCTAGATAGAATCTTAAGCACTCAAAGAACCTCCTGCATGATTAAATGATTCTTTGCACGGTGAAATCATTCTTCAGACTGATGTAGAATGTGCTGTAGATGGTACGATTTAGAACCTTTTTCAAAAGGGTTCTTCTATTGTAAACAAGCTTAACATCCTAACAATAGCAGAACCCTTTTTTTAGTGATATATAGAAACGTCTTTAAAAAGGTTCTTCATAGAATCATATACATCACAGCCTCCGACAATCTTAAGAACCCTTTCTCCATGCAAAGAACCGTTCAAGCATGCAAATGTTTCTTTGAGTGTTCATAGTTCTATATGGGACCCTTGAAGAACCATGTTTTTTAAGAGTGTACACTGCACCTATTTATGTGTTCTTCTCAGGACCTCGACATTTTGTGGAGGTTCATTAAACTTTCAGAAGGATCTTCACACTCAGATGTTATTTATTGCTACAGTACCTGATTTCTGTGACCAACCTCCGTGGCAAAGAGAAGAACCTACTTACCAAATCAGGTGGTGTTCTGCAGGGTTAGGATAAACATTTGTAAAGGTTCTTGGTTCGAATACAGGAGTGCAACTACGCTATCCAAGTTCCTTACTGACAGCGTTCAGCTGTGTTCTTCTATATAGCCTGACTCTGTCTTAAGTGTTGGACATGCTAGAACATAATGACTCAAAAGAGACATGAAACATTTCCTTCATAAAATCAATATGCTGCCTTTTTTATTTATTTTCATTTTTTATTTCTGATGCATTTTCATTTCTAGGAAGGAGAAAGAAGGTTCCAAAAGAAGTTGAGACTCCTAACAACCACCTGGAAGACCTGGTAGACACCAAAACTGCTCCCCATCAGATAAACAGCACTTAAAGCTTTCATCTTTGAGAGAGAGGAGAAAATCAAGCTGCTTCAGATCTGAAAACATCCACAGGTGTTTCTGTCCATCCTTCCACTGTGAGAAGACGACTCAGCGCTGTGGGTCTGAAAGGATGTGTAGCTGATCAAGAAGACCCTCACTGAGAAAAGGAGACGGACACATCAAACAAAGATGCTGAACAATGGACTGACCACCCCAGAGTCCAGACCTCAACACCACTGAATGTGTTTGATTACTTCAGAAAACAATCAACCAGCTTCTAAGACTGAACTTTGGAGGTGAGTCTGCAGTTTCTTTGTGGAACTGAAAGTGAGTCTCCTGAAAAGAATGGAAGCTGCTATGAAGGTAAAGAGTGGACACAATAGAGACTGACAATATTGATACTATATTCAATTATTAAGGAATTATATGTTTTGTTTTCACCCTGATTGTACTTTATGGCTACTTTGACTGGGAATTAAATAAATGAAGGGTGGCCTCTGACTTTTGCACAGTACTGCACACATGGGACTCTCCTAAGAGTAAAGCTCATGTACTCACATAGCTGGAAAAAACTGGTTCAATAAACTCAGTTCCAGCCATCGTTTGGTGGACGCAGACCCACTGATATGTCGATTGCTCACAGTGACAAACATTGCTGTGCCCCAATGTTAAAACCCTTAAGATCTCCAAAAGAACTCAAAAGAGCTTCAATTTAGTGGAAATGATTCCACATAAAGCATCTAGCAATAAAAAAAACCCTGCAGTAGCATTTTTTTTCTAAGAGTTCAGCTTTAATTTTGCCTGTAGATTATTATGATTTGCCTGCCGGGGGAAAACGTGTCAAAACATGTAAGTCTTCTGCAGCACCTAAACAGCTCCAGCATGCCAGCAATCCAGTCGTGATTGAAATCTCTGAAGCTTCGCTTGGGCGCAATTCAAACAACACATTAAAAGAAGGGATCCAAGATTACCAGCATGGCCAACAATAGATGAACACCGACAGATCCTGACTTTTATTAACTGTAGTTTGAACAAAAAACCAAAATATATTCAATATTAATCTTAAATATAATCTTTATTTCTTTACAACAATCCTCATCCATCTTCAGAGTACAAAACATTCATGATTATGTAAGAAACCAGTTTTAAATAAAGAGAGCATCTCAGATCTTCAACTGCATAGAGCTTTTTTTTTAAACTGAATGGCACTGAGAATATACAAAAATGCAGCTATTGCAGTTATTACTGTAGTCATATATAAGACACTGCGTGTTAGATTGTGGAAATTGGGCTACATGTTCTCTACAGTAGTGATTAAAGACAAAATGTGTTTATGTCCATGTCAGGACCGAAGACCAGTGGCTATTATGGATTTAAAAGCGAAAACAGAATGTAACTACTTGAAGTAGGTTATTTCCACTTCATCAGTGCTGTACATAAAACGGGTTGTAATATAGCTATAAAACAATGGACTTCTTGCTCTTGCATGGGTTATGGCTGTGCTGAACTGGATTCATCAATAGAAACGCTCAAAGTGCATGCGACGATGCTTGGCTATGTTTTATGTCTTGGATCGAGAACACAAGCAGATCTTTTTCCAGGGTAACCCCACTGGAACCAATATCAAACGCTTTCCACTGCATTAGCCCATTCGGTCCATTTGTGTGAAATACTCATAAGCTCTGCCAGACCGCGGCATTGCCATCATTTCCTGGCCGTTTTTGTTCTGTTGCCTGTTTGCCACTGAGAGTAGTTAAAGAGCGGCGTTCAAATGAATAGGAAACTAATCTGGCTTTATTAAAGTGGCATCATCCAAGCACATAAACAGCTCCGGCTAACTCTTTCATCAAGCGCTTGTGTAGATTTGAAAATACCTCAACACATAGCAGTTCGTCCCCCATCAAACATGACTTCACCTTATTAATCCTGATGCCTGACAACGCCTTGCTCAATGGTGAGGGGGGAGAAGACATTGGAACGGACAGGGGGCACTGAAGAGTTACTCCCCCCCTCTTAAGTCCAGTGAGCTATGAGTAAATAGGGTGAAATTACAAGGAAATTCCAGCGTTTCTGGATAATTCCATCTGTAAGATGTAAAGAAAGTCATTCAGAGTGGTTTCATGTGAAATGCGTCTTTCTAGAGTACGAACTGTTCACACTGGTGGTGATAGGAACCAGACGTCCACCTCTAAAAGCTCCCTCACAGAAAGGCATTGAATGAAATGGTAACTAAGGTGCTGTCTGATGCCTTTCACGATAGTTTTGAGACAAGATTCGGGCCTCCATTTATGGTGGGAAGGGTGCTATGAGGCAAAATAGTACCCAAGGAAAACTTGTTTTTCCAGATTTAACATTTTTCCATCCTCAACATTCCATATGAACACTTATGTAGGTTCACTGGTGGTTTTCGATGGTAAATAAAATAAACTTGTGTCAATATTTTGACCCGTTTTCTATCACCACTGTGAAGAAAGCAGAAAGCTTCCCCACCGTGAACCACTGCACGTCAAACCACTCTGAATGGCTGGTTTGATGACTCCACCAATTTTTCAAACCGTTCAACCGCCTTTTAAAAGAAGATATCCATGGATTTGCTAATTATTTCATATTTATTCATTTCCTACTTACTGATAGCTCAAACTACATACGAAGCAGGAGATTTGGTGCCAGTTTTTGATACGAATAGCCAAACAACTACTGGTGTTGTTTTTATCACCAATAAGTCAATTGCGTAAAATGTAAAACCTAAAAAAAGTTCTTTTAACCTGCACAATTTATCTGCATTAACTTCAATGAGGAAACAAGCAACTACACCATTTGATGGTTATACCTTGCTGCTGGGTCTCAACTGCAGCTCAATCCCTGTCGCCGTGGAGACACTACCTTACATTCTTTAACAGAAGTTCATAACATACTTATCCTGTCCTGGACCTGTCAAACATGCACTTCCACCGTTAAGACTATGGAAGTTTCTAAGACTTTTTTTGGTTAGCTTTCTAACTTCTACAGGGTTGTGGGCCGCTTTCAGATCAACATACTTTTTAAGCTGTTCCAAAAGATAGCTGAGGGGTCAACTACAGCTGTCTTTGGATTTCAGCATTAACACCGTAAAGACTCTCAACCCGCACCCGATGAAGCAGTTTGTAATGTCTAGCCATTGTTGCAGTGGGGAGCTAGATTGTAGCGTACTGGATATGTTTAAACATGTGAAGCGGCGGTTATGGTGACCATTAGAAGGCGTACGGTCCTACGATGATGGTGAGCCGTAATAATGAGCTGGTGCGATAGTTTGTGACGGTGTGGTGAGTGATCATCTCGAGATCGACGATCAGCTCCAGAGGGCCCTCTAGGGACTTGGTCAGCACCAGCATTGCACTGACGTTGCTGGAACGCTGCAAGAAGCAAGGTCATCAAATTAAAGGCATAATTCAGTCACACGATGATAATATATATATATGTAGCGATGAACAAACCCAGAGCTGCCTGATGTTTCTTTTTTATCCTAAACCTCACTTGTCCATTTGGACACTGCAGTAAAAATGCTGTATTATATAGTACACCACATGGTCAAAAGTACATGGACACATGAAAATCACATCCATATGCGCTTGTTGAGCATCTTGTTCCAAAACTATGGCCATTTATATGCAGTTTGTCCCCCCTTTTGGGAAAGCTTTCCAATAGATGTTGGAATACTGTTGTAGGGATTCGCTTACATTCATCCACAGGAGCATTAGGGAGGTCAGGCACTGATGTTGGGGGATAAGACCTGGCTCACAGTCAGCATTCCAGTTCATCCCAAAGGTGCTGGACGGAGCAGTCAAGGCCAGTCAAGTTCCTCCACACCAAACACAACAAACTGTTTCTTTCTAAACTGTTTCTTTATGGCCGTGCTGAAATAGGAAAGGGCCTTACCCAAACTGTTGCCACAAAGTTAAAAGCATACAATCCTCTGGAATGTCTCTGAATACTGTGGCATACCGATTTCCCTTCACTGGAAATAAGGAGTCCAAACCATAATTAATGGCCCCAGACCCTTTATTCCCCCTCTACCAAACTGTATAGTTGGCTCTATGCGTTCAAGCAGGTAGCATTCTCCTGGCATCTGGCATCTCCTGGTGAAGCATGATTTATCACTCCAGGGAACGCATTTCCACTACACCAGAGTCCAGTGGAGGTGAGGTGTGTTTTATACCACTCCAGCTGACGCTTGGCACTGCGCATGGTGATTTTCGTATGGTGAGATTTACTTGTGGCTGCTCAGCCATGGAAACCCAATCAACAAACTCTGTAATGAGTGCTGCAACATTGATTTCAATGTCCTACACATTTCAGCACTCAGTTCAGTTGTTGTTGCACTTCGCAGTAACAGAGAAGCTCCAGAAGAGCACAAATATGACAAACTTTCATCTTCAGCTAAGCCACTTATGCTCTTGGGTCCCAGCGCTCATTGGGTGGAAGGCAGGAAAGTCCATCACAGGGCACACACATTCGCACCTAGGGGCAATTTAGTATCTCCCGACCAGTTAATGATTGTGGCTGAAACAGTTAAACACACTAATTAGAAGGGGTGTCCACATACTTTTGCCCATGTAGTGTATAGTAGAAGCTACACCAGACAGCAAAATATACACCGATCAGGCATAACATTATGACCACCTCCTTGTTTCTACGCTCTTTGTCCATTTTATCAGCTCCACTTACTACATAGGTGCACTTTGTAGTTCTACAGTTACAGACTGTAGTCCATCTGTTTCTCTGCATACTTTGTTAGCCCCCTTTTACCCTGTTCTTCAGTGGTCAGGACCCCCATGGACCCTCACAGAGCAGGTACTATTTGGGTGGTGGATCAGTGTGTTGTGCACCTATACAGTAAGTGGAGCTGATAAAATGGACAATGAGCGTAGAAACAAGGAGGTGGTCAGAATGTTATACTTGATCGGTGTATTTGTAAAAATAATCACTCATTAAAAGACAAGGCTTGGGTCTAAAACTGCTTTACTGTATGCACAGAAACAGCAGAAGGTAATATTTCAAACTATTTAAAATGTATCACTAACCCTCAGGAAGAACTCCCCTCCTTCGTTGCCGGCTCTGATCCTGAAGGTGTTGTGCGTGTTGGGGTAGATGTTGGTGGCTTGGATCTGGAAGATGTCTGCTGGTACGGTGCGATCCGAGTGAATGCTCATGTACTTATAAACGATGGACTGTGGAATGCCGCGACATGCAGCGGTGGGCTGGCAGACACATCGGCTAGAAGACAGACAGAAGACACTTTAACCTTTTTTACACGTTTGGCAGTCTGTACTAACCCCCTCTTCACCTTCCCAAGGCATAAGATCATTGATCTGCCCATGCCCCACCCACAAATGCGTTCTCTCGTAATTGACTGTTACAGTGCTAGACAGGCTTTGCAGGACACTCCCATTCAACCTAATGAGAAACTGCAGTGCACAGCTACATTTTTCAGATCAGACTGCTACAATGTTCGTTTAGAGTTGCTAGTTTCCATGTAATGTTGAGTTTCTGCTGGGCTATGCTGCTGTAGATAATAAAAACGATGCCAACCATGCGAACATTAGCTTATTTTTTGACCAACAAACAGTTTATTGTAAGATTATGACCGTTTACACACATGTAGGTACTTGCATTGTACCAGCTCGACTCGACTCACCTTTTTGGGTTTTCCACTAGGCAAAATTTGGCACCTGATACCTGGTACTTCTTTGGTATCACCTCTGTCGAGGTTCCAAGTGAGCTGGGCCAATACTGATGTAAAAACGCTACAGACCACCGACTGATCGGAATCGTTAAACACATATGTTAACGTTAGCTACCAGGTTAGCGATCCCTCTTGCGTCGCCTCTTTAGAGCAACCAGAATCATCTCGTCGCCTGAACTCTGATGTAGTTTTTCCAAACTGTCTTTTTATTGTCAGGAGTGTTTTGTCTTGCTGCCCTCAGGCTCTTTTGAACAAAATTTGTCTCCTTCACATCTTGGCAGTTTCATTTGGCGTCGCTATGACAACCAGCTACACTGAGGGGGGCACTATTTCTGCAGTGGAAAACGAAGTAGCTGGTACCAAAAGCGAGTCGAGTCGAGTCGAGCCGTTCCATGCAGTGAAAAAGCGGCTTATATTTAGGTATTTTGGAGGTCGTGTACTATAATACTTACTGATCAGCCTATTAGTGTGAGGTTTATACCCTAAATTTCTCACAGATTTTTATCCCTAATTACTCATATTCAACCTCAACAGCTAAATTCCATGCAGAGGCCACCGACACATTCCTTCGTAGCAAGAGTTTCTACATTGGACAAGCTTTACAGAGCAAAGGGGAAGTACCATTTTGTCTAATTTGTCTAATGTCTCTCAGAAAAAAGGTACTAAACTGCCACTGCGGTGGTACCTATCTTGTTACTTGGGTAGTACCCTCAAGGGAACATCTTCAGTCCCCTTAGTTGGAGAATATAACCTTACCGTATTCCATCTCAGTTATGTATGTTTTATTTTAAAACATCAGGTTATGTAATGATACAAATACCCTGAGAAAACTTATCTAAGGTGCACAACTGGACCTTAAAACCATCGTTGTACAGCCCCATTTTCAAAAAAGTTGGGACGCTGTGCAAAATGTGAATAAAAATAGAATGCAATGATTTGCAAATCATGTAAACCATATTTTTAAAGGAAAATACTACAAAAAACAACATAACAAATGTTTGAGAATGTTTGTTTTTTGAGAAATATCTGCCTTTTTTGATTTCCACTGCAGAATCATGTCTGTTTTTAATGCAGTGCTGTCTGAGGGCCCAAAGATCACAGCCAGCAAATACTGTTATTTGGTCTTGTCCCTTACATACAGAGATTTCTCCAGATTTCTCTCAGATTTCTCTGAATCTCTGAATCATGTTATTATGTACCGTAGATGATGAAAAGTAAAAGATCTTGTTGCACTGTTTGCTCGTGCAGTCTTTCACAGAGTGGTGAACCCCTCCTCATCTTTACTTCTGAAAGACTCTGGAATGCTCCTTTTATAATCAATCACGTCACTGACTTGTTGCCTATCAAGCACCAGGTGTTTTTTTAGCATTAAACAAATTTACCAGCCTTTTGTTGCCCCCGCCCCAACTTTTTTGGAATGTGTTATTAGCATCAAATTCAAAATGGGCAAATATTGTTCAATAAACAATAAAAGTCTCCACATTTGATATGTTGTCTTTGTACTATTTTCAATAGTGTTTAAATGATTTGCACATCATTGCATTTTGTTCTTATTTACATTTTTTGGAAATGGGGTTGTACTTCTTGAGGGAACATTGACATTGTTTGTACTTTGACGAACAAAACAGTACCTTTTTTCTGACAGTGTAACTGTAATCAAAGTTCAATCAAATCTGATTGATATGTTAACCAGAAAGTTGTTGTATGGTTAAAGATACTCCGAGGGGTAATTCCATGATACTGGCCATATTTACAGATGCTGGCTGTGGCTGTAAGGCAAGAAGGGCTAAGAAAACAACTACACCCAGTCTATCCTAACAGACCTTTAATACATATAAAAATGTAATAAATCACTATGAATGTAGCTAATTTGACAGTAAATTTGTCAAACTGCTCTCTAAATTAGGTACTTTGTGAATGGTGTTCTGTAAAGCTTGTCCAACTACTAAAGACCGAAATTGGTGGGCAGAGCATGGATAGGTCAGTTACATCAATATGCTAGTTTGATGTACAAATTGTTTGTACAAGGCATCAGTGGGCTTTATTTCCTTCCTGCTGGTGAGTCCAGGTTGTCACAGCACATGAAAAACTTGCCCTTTACAGACGCATCTGGCTTTGAGAGCGCAGCCAGATGGACTTACTTTTCCGTCGTGCGCACATAAGGCTCCGGGCAGGGATTTCGGGGGTAGCACCGGTAGCCTCCAAAGTAGTTCCAGCACATCTCCTCCTCGGTGCATTCATGGCCTGTTTCACACTCGTTAATGTCTGCCAGAACCAAGAAAAACAGTCAATCTGTGCAGTCTTCACACAGTTCACACTCTGCAGGGCATTCCTATATTACACAACGGCTGTTATAACCTCATAGCATTACTGCTGTTATTAATGGAGCAGGCAAACCTCAAGACGCCTTTCATTCTAGTACACTTTAAAACAGTGGTTTCTAATGTTCATGGCTTGGATGTACGGTCCAGTGACTGACCTTTAACTAATACAGGACCTTTACGTGATGTGTATGAACTTTCTTTAAAAAGTTCTTCACACTTTTACTGAAACTCTTCTTAAAAGGAAACTCTGGCCAAAAAGTAACAATATAACCATCGCTACATCTGTTGTAAACATGCCTCCAGCGCTGGTGCCACAATAGTCTCACATGAGATTTTCCAGTTTAAAGGCTAGGAAAAACCTTCTGATGATGTATCTTGAAGGTGGGAGGAGCTTCGGGGTGGATTTTGTAGCTGTTTAAGATGTTACATAGCTAATGTCACTGCTAGAAAGCTGAATGTCATGTTTGTTCTTATTAGTCTCTACATCTGCGCTACATCAGGAGATTTCTTTTGGTGGAGGGGATTCCCAAGGGTTGCAGGCTGTGTTTGCATAATGCATGCTGGGTATTGTAGTGAAAGGATGCTGACTGACTGAAAAACACAAAAATTCTGTCAAACCGAAGATGTTAAGGCATACAATGCTGGCTACAGCATATTAAACGGTAGTTTTAGAATGCATCTTTGAAAGGTTCTTTAGGAAACCAAAAATGGGTCTTCTATGGCATCGTTCTATGGTGATGTTTCTAGTACTAGGGATGCATGATAATATCGGAAGATCCTGGCAGATAATTGTTTTTAAAAACAATTTGATAATGTATTTATTGTAATCGGTGACGCTGGGTTCCTATACTAGGATAGGACTTATTAGCAATTTCTACTTTTGATAAAAGTATATGTAGAGGTGGGCGATATGGCAAAAATATTATATCACGATACTTCAAGACATTTTCACGATACACAATATGCATCAAAATATTTAGTTTTTCTGAGATTGAATAAGTTGGAATAAACAAAAGAGAACCTGTAGTGCCACCAACTAAAAATACTGTAATAAGTATGTAATAATAAACCTAAAACTACAATGATTTTTTGACCGTTTGATAAACTGCACTGAACTAAATCCAATTAAACAGGCCTAATTAAGCTCACTTTGTAATGAAACATGTAGTTAGTTGTCTTCAAGTACTGACGATATCCACAATATGCTCAGAAAAGCATATTACGACAATAATGTATCATGATATCGTCATATTGCCCACCATGTATATTTATCAGTGTCGGCAGATATCAGCTTTCCTATATCGGTGCATCCTAAAACAAAAAGGATATAAAAAGGTAAAAATGCTAGCCTTAGCGCCTTGAAAAGGACGATCCGAAGGCACCGCTCTAAAGAACCCTTTATTTTTAAGCCTGTAGTCAAAACCATTAAATGATAATCACGGCTAACACAAGCTACATGGCCCACGTTAAAGAACATGTCACATACGGCTGGTTTCCCAGGCCTTGAATTAAGCCTCGTCTTGGACTACTGGACTAAACTGCAATGGCAATAGTGATTCAGCACTGAAAATCTCTTAAGCCTAGGCTTAGGCTAAATCTGTGTCTGGCAAAGCAGCCCACCGAGCATTAAGATTAAAACCTTACTAAGCCCCTGGTCCCTCAGTTACCGTAAGAGCGCTGGAAGGGAGAATCCTGCTGCTTCGAAACATGGGATATCCCTAAAGCTTACAGCTCAGGCAAGCATGGAGTGTACCCAGGCGTGTAGACACACACCCACACACCAAAGAGTTCCGCACCATCAAAGAGCCCTCGCGACTGAAGGGGAGCTATTTCTGACACAGCAGCACAGATTCATCAGTCTCGCTCCCTCTCTCGCCCTCACTCTCTCTCTCTCTTTCCAACCCATTCACACAACACGGGGCAGAGGAAAAAACAACACCGTTTCAAAGTCCCCGATTTCGAAAAAGCCCACATACATAAATCTCCAAAACGGGGGGGCTTTCGCAGGGCTCAACGCCGCCGCCTTGTTTGCGTACGCCCTGGCCTTTGCATTCTTTCCATGACAGTGTGGTGGAGCGTTCCGAGCCCATATTCCGCTATATATCTCCCCGGGCGCCGAAGCATCCAGCTCGATACGGATCCTAAGCGAGGTGGGGTGGGGTGAGGTAGGAAAAGAGGGCAAGGCAGGGCTGAGAGTCGTATTTCATCCCTGGGAGGAGGAGGAGGAGGCCAGTACCTTGACACATTCTTGTTCCCTGGAGCTGGTATCCATCGGGGCAGGTGCAGGAATATTCGCCCGGGGTGTTGATGCACGCGTACTGGCACATGTAGGGAGAGTAGGCGCACTCGTCGATGTCTGGACGCAAAAAAAAAACAGAGCACAAAAAACGGGCACAACATCAGCAAGAGCACACTGCTGTCATACAAGAACAAAACTGTAGCGTCAGCGACGCTGTTTCACTCCTCCGCAGCCTAGAAACACCAACAGCCAGAAGCAACCTCAGGCTTGTGCTAGCATCGTGAGATATTTAGAGTCTGGCACTGGGCAGGAATGCATAGCTGACTGCTAGCCTGGTACTTGATGTGTTTAGCGGCATTGCTAGCTTTGGCAGCGGAGGTCTGTTTCTCAAACTAGTGTATGGGACTCACTAGACGGCCCACATTAGCTCCCAATCACCTGTACCTGGTCTCCTTAATGTCTTCATGCGTGCTGGAAGCTAAGCTTGAGAAACACTGTCACAGCAGCTGCCAATGCTAGCAATTACACTGAACATATCTAGCACCAGGTTGAAAACATGGCTAGCGGTCAGCTATGCATTCCTGCGCAGTGCCAAACACTAAATACCTCGCGAAGCTAGCGAGGTCTGTTTCGGCTGTTATTAGACTCTTGTGGAGGGCAGCTTCGATGCTGAGCATGTCAGGCTAAAGCTAGTGTTTCAGGACATATAAGCATAGCTTTGTCAGGGGGATGTGGGGGTCATGTCTCTCCCATTAATCCCCCCTTAAGGCATCATTGTGACTTAGCTTTTGTGTGTTGTGGTGTGTTGGATGCCTCTGGTTGCTAAATTTGGCAAATGTTTGAAAATGATACTGCTTTAAAACTTCTAAAAGGTTTCTATTCATATATAACTGTATTCTCTGACAATGAACACATAGGAGCAAACAGCAACTTCTTTTATGGGCCTTTACTGTAGCAGACTGTGCTAGCTCCACCTTTCTAAAGCTCAAGAATGACAAGGATGTTTAAAAACGAGGTAAACTGGGAAGACTGTGTGTGATAATGTATAATGTAAGCCACTGCCAGCTTAATGCTCCCCTGGCATTAAATATGAATGATGTAGCTATTTATGATAGTTAGCTAGATAATTTCCCAGACAGCAAGAGGACAGCAGGCCCGCTAACGGCAAAGCTGGCGGCCCACTGGCTTTTTGCCCAGCGTATTCAAGGTGGCCTACCAGTGGTTAAGCAGAGTGTTGGACAAAATGCACTTTTCATCACTCATTTTCCACACACAGTCCAATTTACTTATATTTCCTTCATTTCTGTCCTTCGTTATTCTATGTAAAGTAGTTTAGTAAACTTAGAAGTATTGAATTTTATCACTTTTCCATCGATTAAACCTCCATGGAATAGAGGATAAGCTTTTAGCTAAAAGTAAATTGAATAAATACAATTCTATGATAAATAACAAACTTTTTCTGCTGGAAAACCAAACATAGTCAACAGCAAAACCAACATATGCTGTGTTTTGGATGCTGGTATGCTGGTCAACCAGCATGGCAATGCCGGGTGACCACCATAAACCAGTGCTGTTTTTTGCTTTTATGGGTTTATGATGATAAAGTGCATGTAATTATGTAATTATATCATATAAAAGCTGACACTGATGAACCTATAAAGATATATGAATACAACACTTCCATTATGCTGCATTATAACTGTGAATAGTTCTGGTAAGGGGGAGATTCATAGCACAACATCTCTGTTTAAAATATAATATCCAGTAATTTGAATAGCAGCATTACTACTATAGATTTTTATTGTTACGTAAGTCATTTTCAAGCTGAGAATGTTTTCTGCATATTTAATGGTACATTCTTATTGTAATATATCCTTAACACTAACGTTTACACTAAGCATATAATAGGTTGGGCAGTATGAGTAGGCCCACCCCCACCCCCCAAAGGCTTAAATGAACCCTACGCCACTGCAAGCAGTTATACTGTGGTTGTCCTTACCTATGCAGGAGACGGAGTCCGGAGCCAGCTCAAAGCCCCGGTTACACTGGCAGATGAATGAGCCAATGAGGTTGTGGCACTGATGCTCGCACGGCTGACTGACCTGACACTCGTTCACATCTGAAAAGAGACAGAAGCCAGATCAGCAAAGTATCCAGACCTTCACATTATAATGCAGGAAAAACAATTACATTAAAAATGACTGAAATGAGAAAAAAAATGCATTTTGGCAGTTTAAAAGCTCCCCTGTACGATTCTTCCTCGTATGATTCCTCGTAAAATCCTTCCCAAACAGTCCCTTAAATACCAGACTTGCATTTTTATTGGTAAAATGTTCTTTTTTGGGGGCTAAATGAAAATCTCCAGAACCAGAACCAGATCAAATGTTCAGCAGTACAAATGACTCCTTAAAGTGCTGTAATGAAAAAGCACAGTTTATACAGAGCTACGAGGCTAATGTGGCTAACATGTAATGGAAGCATATGTCCACCAATTAGCACTGGACAAAATACAGGCCCAAATCATGCCAAATTGCCTATGAAGTTTCTGTTGTCTGTAGAAATGGACAGTTAAACAATGCATAGATAAAACAACAGTATCAGCCTTTGTAAAGCCACTACTTTACCATTATGATGGCAAAGTGCCTGTTCATAGCTGTTCATTTGATATTTGCTAACAAGCAAAATTAACCTATTTATTGGTCATTTTTTGATTGAGAAACGTGACTGCTCTCGAAATAACAGACAGAAAGAAGTACGTTCTTACTGTTACGTGATTTGTACAACAACCAGCTAACAATCTAGCTTGATTCCTCGCTTTTTCATAGCACCCAAGGAGAGAGGAGATCCCATGAAGTAAACCAGAAACAATTGAAAAGGCTTTGTTAGGATAAAGAGGTTAAATTTGATTCTCGCTGCAGATAAAGAAGACATCTCTGACGATGTTGGTGTTATACTGAAACTTCTGATGTTGTTTCAACGTTAGTTCAGAGTGCAAAAGTGATGAATTAATATCAGATTCTAACTTCGAATCATTAACGTTACTGTTGAGGTTTTATTCATTCATCCATCTTCTAAGCCGCTTATCCTCCTGGGTCGCGGGGGTGCTGGAGCCTATCACAGTGCTCATTAGGTGGAAGGCGGGGAATACCCTGGGACAGGCCGCCAGTCCATCACATGGCAGACTCACAGTCATATACATTCACACACACTCACTCCTAGGGGCAATTTAGCATCCCCAACTGGCCTGACTGCACGTCTTTGGACTGTGGGAGGAAACCGGAGTACCCGGAGGAAACCTACGCAGACACGGGGAGAACATGCAGACTCACTGAAGCTTTAACATTGAAATGTACCGTCCCGAGACCCCGAAATTAGGACCATCCAGACCTATACTTAAGAGCTTTGGGTCAAAACTGAAAAGGGTTTTTTAAGCTAGGACAGGAGTGCTCAACCTTGGTCCTGAAGATCTACCAGCTCCAACTCTAATCTACCCTAATCATGATCCAGGTAATGAAGACCGTCAGGGATGATCTAAAAAACTAGAACCAGGTGTGTGGGATCTGAACTCTCCAGGGTGGTGGATCCCCAGGACCAGGATTGGGCCCCCCATTGCATATACACCTTCCATGCTGTAGAACTGACACTTATGTCTTCTTTAATGAATGTGAAACATGATATTATTGGTTAATATTATTTTTTATGCCTAATGGATGTTTATATAATCCAAGTAAACAGGGCAGCTTATAAGGAAAACAAGAAATGTGTCATTTAAATGGTATAGTACGGTGACCTGTCGTTAACATGATAATCTGACCAGGGATTTGAACTAATAAGGTAAACATAGCCGATTTCGAGTTCAGGTTGACTTGATTATTTCTCAATCATGGCTCATTAAAGCATCATAGACATTGTGTCAAAAGTGCAGATTCGAAATTTTCAGTTGAACATTCTTCATAAGTAGAAGAAAAAGGAAGCAAAAGCATCCTTTACCTTTCGGCCATGTTATTCATTACATAACTGTGCCAATAATTACACAATTATGTACTTACATACTCACAGTTATGGTATGTGAACTGGACAAAACGGCACTAATAACCCGACTTCTATCTAAGGTTAATGGACCAAAAGTGCAGGACTGAACTCTTATGATCCCAAAAGAGGCCTCTCCTTTGCTAAACACATAGACCCTCCAGCTGATTAACAGTATGCAATGTGCCAACAGACAGGAGATGAGTATGAACCCAAAACAATGAGCGCTGCTTCGAGGAACAATAGCGTCTACGTACGAGCCGAGCGCAATCACATTTTAACACCTCTGTTTTTCTTCCTCCGTTCACTTGAATGGGCTGGAGATGAGGAAAAAACCTGGCCGCGAGTTACTAACGGATGTCCTGAAAGCGTAAACAAAGCCCATTAGAGAAGGGTGCAGAAGGTTTAGCTGAGGCCGAGGGAATGTGTGTCTTCCAGAAGAGAAATGAGGTTTTTTTTCAGCCCTGTTTCTTACAGTCCTGTTCGGGGTCACTGGGGTTCTTTGGAGCGCGAGACCACTCTCGTGGCATTTCTCGCGCTCTCTGGCTCGCACTCTTTCTCACACACTCACACAGATACATGCTGACCCATCACTGACACACTGTTTGTGTACAGAGGAGCATCCGCTGGGTCCAATCACTCACCCACACAGCTGTGGTTGTTGCTGGCAAGCTGGTAGCCGCTGTTACACTCGCAGTAGTACGAACCGGGCGTGTTCACGCATCTGTGCATGCAGTAGTGAGACAGGAGACACTCGTCTCTATCTGTGGGGAGGTTTACATACACAAACAACAAGACCTTTTAGCAGGTTGCTTTCCATGACAGTGTTCCCCAAGGCTGTCCAAAAGAGAGCTAATATCATTATTATATATATATTTTATATATATATTTTATATATTATATATTTTTATTTAACGTTTGCTGACACAGCTAAGGATGCATCGATATGGGAACTGTGGGCCGATGCCGATATCCAACATTTTTCATGTACACATCTGCCAATGCTGATACATAAGCATTTATTAAATGCAGAACCTTGGATTGGATCCACTTGGATTAATATTACACTTATTTTTGTATACAATTAAAAACAATGGTTCTCCAAAGGTTCCGTAGTAAGGAAAATGCTTCAATATAGAGCCATGAACACTCAAAGACCCCTTTGCATGATTACAAGGTTGTTTGCATTATTAAAGGGTTCATGAGATTGATAGACAATGTGTTTTATATGCTTCTGTATAGAACCTTTTTGAGCATGGTTCTATATAGCGCCAAAAGGGTTATGATGTCAAGCCTGTAACAACAGAAGAAACCTTTTTGGTGCTACATAGAAGCCTTTTCAAAAAAGTTCTATACAGAACCATATAAAACATGTTGTCTATCAACCTGAAGAACACTTAAATGATGGAAAGAACCCTTTAATCGTGCCAAGGGTTCTTTAAGTGCTGATGGTTCTATATAGCACCGTTATCTTTAATAAGGAAACCTTGAAGAACTACCATTTTTAAGCGTGTAGGGTTTTAGCTGCAGTATGTTATGTATGTTATCAAGTATCAGTTTGAAATATCCGTCAAATATTCGGTCAGTATATATTAAGCGATACCGATATTCTTCCGATATCATCGTGCATCCATAGTCAGGGCATGTTCTGTGAATAGAACTTCTGTTAAGTAGTAATCACACAAGAATTGGCTAAAACAGCTGGCTAGGGAGGGGAGAATTTTCAAATTGTAAAATAGTCGTGAAAGTCTAAAAACTGAATAGAAAATTAGGACTCTGGGTAAACTAATAAGCTTTGCTGGAATGTTATACGTCCTCACATTTAAGAACCACAAGATATCTGCACTCGATTCTCCACCAGAGGGCAGTGTAGGGACTGAGATCTATGTTTTTTATGAACGTTTCGTGTCAGCTAAACTATCTAAACCTTCACAAACTCACTGTTTTGCAGCTAAAAAGTATGAGGTGAAACAGATTATTATGTGACTGGGCGAGTAACGCTGCTTAACGTTGATTAGCATGTGTGTTTATCTTACAGACTTTAGACTGACTGCTTTTGTTGGTGTGAATTTCAAGGCACATCATTTACTAGGACATTTTACGGTCTGGATCTGGATTTAATTTAATGCGGTGATGAAGAAATGCTAAGACAGTAGGCTGTGGTGGAAATCATTGACTGGAGGTGGGCATCGATGCTGGATGTCGGTAGCAGAGCTTCCATCTTCATTAAAAAACAATGGGAATTTTCGGATGCTGTATGCCATTCCTGACGCGTATGCCATATCAAATTTGACTAAAACATTCACCTCAAAGAACATGTCCCGTAAAGATGTTGTCACCGAAGAACAAGTAAGTGGATCTCTGGACCGATGAGTTGAGAAAAGTGGCCTCCTCCAACAAATCCAGGTTTCTTTCGCATCATGTTGATGTGGCATAAGCAAGTCTATCGAGCCAGTGTTTTGTATTAACAATGAAGGTTGGTGGTGGCAGTATGATGGTGTGGGGAATGTTCTCCTGGGACATCAGGAGCCCCTGATATCCGCTAAAGAATGTGTGAGTGACACAGCATATCTTAAGATCACTGCTGACCAAGTTCATCCCCTCATTGCTACAGTTTATCCGCACTTGGATGGACACGTCCAGCATGATAACACACCATGTCACAAGATATGTGTTCCAGAGCTCCATGTCACAAGCTATGACCGTGGGTCTTCAAGATCACCATTAAGATACATTGCAGTATAGCCATCACAGTTTTTAGATCTATCCGGCATCTTTGGGATGAGGTAGAGAGGGCAATTCATAGCGAGACTGCAGTCATTCAGTTTGCCACAACTGCAGAGTCATTTCTGCATGGTATAACATTCATCAGGTACGTGCACAGATGGACCCCAGAGGGCTCTTGGGCCTTGCCTGTTCGCCCTCAGATTGGAAAAGTGCCCTCCATGCATAATCATTGTTTTATTCAGCCTTAGCCATTGTTCAAGATCCATTTCTTGAGGCTCAGACTCGCACTAAGAATAGAGCTAGGGGTTGGATGTGGGTTCCATTCGCTTCACTACTTTTGGGCGCCCCCTCTGGTGCAGAACCACCACCAATAAAGATTTTGACTCAGTAACACCGACGTGGCACACATCCTTTCTGGCGTTGGAAATCCCAGCGGTAAAGCATGGATAACATCTCTTTTAAAAGTGTTTAATTCCAAACATAATGTTGGCAGTTAGGGGCGCTAATAACTTGTTAAAACAAGTTATTTTGTTATTGTAAAAACATGGATTTGGCTCAGCAGAGGCCTGACTTTTATTCATTCCTGCACAATGCATTAATAGAATCCATGCCAGAGCGAATTCAAGCTGCTGTGAAGAACAAAAAGGCACATGATGCTACTGCTGGCAGTTTCGGAATAAGAATCTTCAAAGATCAATATTGGAAAACCACATTTCTGTCACTTTATTGAAAGAACAAAATAATGGGTGCAGGTTGGATTGGACAATTATGTCCTGAACAGAAGACCTGGCTAGCTCCAAGAGTCATGGTTTGCCACCGGATATTATGGTAGGGTTGCGGGGTATAAACCCCTCATTCCAAAGAAGAATGTTGTAAATACCATCCAGACTGATTTACAGAGATGTGGAAAGAAGTGATATGATCAGATGAGACATCCTGAACCATATCCTCCACACATGGGAGACTGCATGCATGGCATAGTCCAGGACAATGGTACAGGCCTGAATGCTTGGCCCCTACAGTGAGGGGGTCTGGTACCTCTGTTATGCTGTGTTTTGCTAGTGGGTTTGGACTTGTCCCCGAAGAGGGAAGACTGTCTGAAAAATCAACAACTGGTTAGTCTGATCAAACGCCTGACGAAACATTTCTGTCCTGATGAGAGTGGTCTCTTCCTCGATTACGATGCCCCCATCCTCCGAGAACAAGGGGTCAGTGTATGGATTGATGAGTATGACGATGTAAATGATGTCCTTCACCACCACAGCTCAACCTGGTTAAACACCTATGCGAGATTTTGGATGGATGTGTTAGACAGCGCTCTTCACCACCATCATCAAAACTCCAATTGAGGATCTTTTGGAAGAACTATGTTCCATCCCTCCAGTGCAGTTCCAGAGACTTGTAGAATCTACATCATGGTGTGCTTAAGCTGCCCCGGCAGCTGGTGAGTGTCCCACACCTTAAGGAGATCATTTATTTACGTTTTTCTTTTAGTTTGTCACCTGTCTGTTCATTTGTCTATTCAACCAACTGATTGCTTCAGTCTAGACTCCTTTTTGAATTAAAAAATATTAGGTTAAGTTGACCACAACTATCGAGATCTTGTCCATTTCATTTTACTTGACTATGAACATGACCATGTGAACAGGCTTCTGCGCAGCAAACTTTTCAAGTAAGCTTTTCAGAGCTTATAGTCACTAGATTAAAAGAATAGTTTGTAAAAGTTACTTAAGAGTTGGTGTTTTAGGCACTCGCATATCCTCGCATGTTGGTCGACACATCCTGATATCTTTCCCACAAGTTTGTTTTTCTTGTAGGCCTTGTTTTTAAAATTACTACAACAGCACCCTCTGGTTGGTTAATTTGCGTGTCAGTCAAACGGCCCTTTCCTGTCAAAGTAGGTGGTCCCAAACCACATTAAGACATAAAATGCACCAGATTCTCTGACGATAAGTAGAAGTCTGGCTTGTGAGGCTACAGCATTAAAGACTGACTAAGCTGAGGCGGTGAGCTAGCACGTAACTCACCTACACACTGGTCACCGTTCTTCTGGTAGCCCGGCTGACACTGGCAAAGAAAGGAGCCTCGGGTGTTATAGCAGATTTGATCCGCACTGCACGTGTGCCTTCCTGTCGTGCACTCATCTATATCTACAAACGCACAGAAACAGGAGGTCAAAGCAATAGGTTTCGAGTGATGAAGTGTTTTTTTCTATTAGCATTTGCCATAGATAGTGACAACACAGTAACAGCAGCCATCTTAAAGTCTTCACTTTGTCTGCACTTTTGTCCAATTTTATAGAAAAAAGTATGTCAAAAACTGTTGTTTTAGGCAAGTGTGTGATGATTTAGGCATGCAGCTTGCACAGCGCAAACTAGCGAGGTATAAGCTTCCCTTCTGTTTTCCTCATAGCTCCAGTGCAAAACCAAAGAAGCAAAGAGACACCAAACATGGTTTGGAGCAACAGCTACATCTGCGTGGTGGCATATATTCCCATCGATTAATGGGTTTTTACAACCCAAAGGTGGAAATTTACAGGGGGGCCAGCTCAGCAGACAGCTAACAGATTAACAGGCTTCTCCAATAACATTCAGACATACTTCAAACTCAGGTCTTTGCTGAAGTAGACGTTATCTGAACGGCCATTTAGCTTCAAACGTGTGTGTTTAACCTAGAACTTGAAATGTGAATGTATAACACAATGTATGTACAACTAGTTTTGCACTGATATAACAGTATGAAACCTTTGCTAAAATCATGCTAGCAATGGTAATCTGATGAAACAAGGCTAGAACTGTGAGGTCCATGCATTAAACATGTAATAACATGCATGGTCGTTAATTTTAAAAATATTATTTAGGTAGGTCATCAACAGGCAGGTATCCACACAAAAACAAACCAAATTATGTGGGCCATGATAGCTGAAGTGAGGGGGATATTGTGTATGTTTCATTTTTCTAACAAAATTTCACTTGAGATGGTTATAATATTAATTTTGGTCATCAGGCTATATGGTGAAAAAGGAAACTAGAACGAATACAGTGAAAGTAGAAAGAATACAGAAAAAAAATGCTAGCATTAGCCAGACAGTAGAACATACAGTGTTAAACTCACTTATGGCTACAGCCATAGGCACATGTGTTGGCTGAAGAGTGATGATTTGACATTATATAGGACTCCACATCTGTGACCGTGTAATGCAGGGGTGCACGTTTGATGAATTGTTTTTTTGAGATATTGCAAGCAAAGTGGATTGAACTCCCAAAATCTACCTTGTGGGGGGTGTAAGGAAACATGTAATGTACATATTTAAAGCTGCACTATGTAAGATTTGGGAATTTGATGAATGTTTAATTGAGTGCAACGTGTGGAAGAACATTTTGTAGCATTTTGTTAGACCCTCTTCCCCGAGGGGATGAATCTGATGATTGAAAGAGAATTTGAAGAGAACTCAGTCAAAACTTGGTGAAGGGCGCATCTTCCAAGGATGCCATCATATCTTCTTCAGTATAATGTTAATTTCACCTGAACATTGAGCCAGACCTTCTTTTTGAGCGCGTGCGTGTCGTTAATACACAAAAACGTACGGCGTAGTATGAAAAACTCCACATGCTTCTGACCTTCAAATTATTATTTACAGGCTTTATAGACTCACAGCACCATATTTGAGCCTGTTTTTTGTTCTCCTGACTCAGTGATGCTACTTCTTTCCATTTCAATCAAAATTTTTACATAGTGCTGCTTTAAAAATATTACAGTGTATCAACATAAAGGCAGTCTGAAATAAAGAGGGCTGCTCAGAGATGGCAACAGATCAGAGTCTAGCTGTGTTCAGGCCTCCAGAGGGGTGTGGTGCGAGGTTTGATAAGCCTGATCATATCTCTCCCTGATGATGGCAAGAGTGTGTGAGAAGCGGGGTGCGTGCATATGAGTGTGTGTGTGTGTGTGTGTGGAGGTGGGTGGGTGCATATGTGGTTATCTGATGTGTTGTTTGCCTCAATACAGCTTCAGTTCATTCTCCTCCAAGTTAGAGAGCTGGCCAACACATAAGCACACACATTCTTACACAAATAAGCGCATGCATGCGCACAAAGCGGATCAGACACATGTACAAACACGCACAGTAACTTTCAAGAGCGTCTATTTATGCATTCCAAATGAGACTTAACCTCTACAGGCCTCCCCAATGGCCAATCCACCGGTGGAAAGGACATTGATTAATGATATTTGTAATTAAGATAATCAAATAAAATGTTCCCCTGTAACTTTGTTATTGGACAAACTGGGACACTGTCGGCACTCTGTGTGTGAGACGCTGTGACTCTACGTTGAGCTGCTAGTAAGCAATGAGAGGCAGGGTGGGGTGAGATAAAACGGACAACTGCAGCTTTGTTCATGTCCAAAAAGAGTGAACAACTTGCACAATAAATATTCTCCCACAACAGCATTCAAACACAACAAACACAATACTGTAAATTTTGACTTGCTTGCTCTTCATACACATTTCCAAAAGTATATTCCATCTTAATGAAGAGAGAATTCCTTAGTTCACTGGGGAACCGCCTCCAAAACTAGTGGAAATTTCTCATTGTGGCTGCTCTGAGAAAGGGTCTCAGTTAGAGGTGGGCGATATGGCAAAAAATTCATATCACAATACTATTTATGATACACTATGTGTCCCGATATACATTTTTTCTTACATTTAAAAGGCTGGAAAAAACAAAGCATTTCTTGTTAGTTGCGGTTTTATTGTATTTTTTATTTATACTTGCATCTTGTGCTTTTTAATTGTAATTATTAATATATTCCCTTTTCTGATATATTATTTGTTTATTTTATTTTAGATTATCCTGTTTTCTTTGTCCTCTGTTGTTTTTACTTTGTATTATAAAGCACTTTGAGCTGCACTTTTAATGTATGAAAGATGCTATAGAAATATTACTATTATTATTATTATTATTATTATTATTATTATGGAGCTCTGATGAAATACATGATGTACTCAGAAAAGCACATTGTGAGACTGATTTACATTGATATACATAAGGTGTGTGTGTAAAACCTATTCTGTCTTTTTAATAAGAGCTGACGCATGATCGTGCTTCATGCTAATGGCATCCAGGTCAGCCAATCAGAGCTGAGGTCATTTACATATATTAGTCACAGTAACAAAAACAGCCTGTTCAGTACTAAGGGATAAAACAGGGTTGAAAATGGTCATGAAAAATGACATACGACTGTTTGTCAGCTGTGGTAAGAAGCAGTGTAATTGCTGTTATTGAACCCACATGAACGCCTTCAAGCAATGAAACAATGCAAAGTTAAATAAACAAGTTAAACAAAGTCAAAACATGACGTCAATTCAATTTCGGTCCTCTTCCACTTTGTCCAGTGACAAGTGAATTTAGCACTAAAGTGGAATCAAAGAAAGCAGAAGTTTAGTTTAGATGAAGGAAAGCAATATTTTACATTACCTAAATTTAAAAAAAATAAAAAACTTAAATTTTTTTTTAATATTTTTAGGTGCTCTGTAGCTGTTATCTCTTGTTAGCCTTGCCTTGCTTAGCCTTCTTTTGTTCCCTTGTCCTTGGTGTTTGGTTGCTGCTCTTTTTCTGCTATTCTTTCACTTCTTTGGTTTCCTTTTTTCTATTAAATCTTCCGTAACACTATCCATAACCTTCCCGGCCTGAGCTGAGAGTTAAGCAACAGATATTCTGTGCTTGGTTGAGTGAGCTGAAAGTGAAAAATAGTGAATGTTGAACTACACCATGCATTTGATTTACAATAACTGAGATTTGTAAGGGTTAACACTCCTGTTGTTCAGTTAGTGGGTCAGTTTGGGAATCCTCTTTCTTCCCAAACTTTCACTTCTGCCTGTTTCTTCCAAACTTCCATAACATCCCCCTCTGGTTTTCAGCTGCTCCCTTATTTTACGTCAACACCACCAGTCTGGAAGGGTGAAGGTCAAGTGCATCCTCCAGTGCATATGAAGCATTTCACTGCACAATTGCAACTACAGGCCATAAAGCATTGCTGAGTGCTTCAACACGCTTGGAGGAGAATGCTAATCACTCGAATCTGTCAAGCAACCGTGTTCAAACTGGCTGGTGTATTGTTCAGCAGCACTGAGGACAGGGGCTTGATTCCATTCCATGCTCATTTGTACTCACTTCCCCTGTGGTTCTGATGCCTGTACATGCCTCGGAGTGATTCACAGTGCTAGAGTAAGACATTGTAATGTGTGGGGGAAAAAGGAGGCACTTGCGTGGAAGCTAATTAACTGTGATTACCACCACCTGTATGCATGAAATAAATGAAAAACATTTTTCTCTTAGAATTGCAAGTAAAATATGGGCTTAGTGTCTAATGTGAACACGGCCTTAACTTTATTTAGACAAATGCTTAGTAGAAACCAGTGGCGAACCGTGCTCTGAAGGATTAAGAAGAGTTTTAAAACAAACATGTGCTCTTCTACTAGGCCTCCTCCCTCCCTCTCTGTCTTTCTCCAACTGACTTTAATGATGACTGCGGCTTTGAACTGAACTGGGGTCTCCTACAGAGGGATTTTCACAGTGCTAAACATGATTGATCTCCTCAACATGAGTGCTCCAGAAGTCGTGGGTGGTCCGCAGTTACCCACCCTATAGAAAACAGACAACAAATGGGTCTATTAGCAGTTCTCCATTTTTCCTGAAATTAGCCCATGGCACATCTCGCTGAAAAGCGGAGGAGCTCTGAACTGAAGAGGACCAACAGGACTCAGTGGTGCGAGTGGATCAGACACAGCAGCGCTGCTGGAGTTTTTAAACACTGTGTCCACTCACTGTCCACTCTATTAGACACTCCTACCTTGTCAGTCCACCTTGTAGATGTAAAGTCAGAGACGATAGCTCATCTGCTGCTGCACAGTTTGTGTTGGTCATCCTCTAGACCTTCATCAGCGGTCACAGGACGCTGCCCACAGGACGCTGTTGGCTGGATATTTTTGGTTGGTGGACTATTCTCAGTCCAGCAGTGACACTGAGGTGTTTAAAAACTCCAGCAGCACTGCTGTGTCTGATCCACTCAGACTAGCGCAACACACACTAACACACCACCACCACGTCAGTATTACTGCAGTGCTGAGAATGATCCACCAACCAAATAGCAC